GCCGGCGCAGGGCAGCGGCCCGCGGGGGTGCGCAGCGCCCGGCTCCATGTGAGACGCTGTCGCCTCGCCTTGCAGCGGGACCTCCAGGCCAAGCTGTCGCTGCGCTACACGGAGATCTCCAAGAGGTGCCGGCGGGGCTGGGCTGCGGGCTTCGGCTGAGGCTCGCCGGCCGCTCCTGACCTTCGGGAACCGTTCGTTCTCTGTGTAGAAGCCAGCCGCCGCCTCGGCTCCCGGTGGGTCCCAGTCACAGGTTCGCCAATAACTATTACTGCACCCGGGATGGGCGCCGAGAGTCTCTGCCGCCCATCGTGGTCGTGGCAGCGCAGAAAACCCTCGCTGCGGGGGCTCAAGCTGGCAGGTAGGTCTGACCTGGTCAGCGCTGCGGCTGCCGCAGGAGCTGAGCGGGTTTAAGCCTTGTTTGATTTACACCAGAAACGCAGAACTCCTCCAGTAAGCGGTGTGGGATTTCCCAGGTTGGTAGAAGAATGCTGAACTAATTATTTGTGTCTGTGTCTTCTCTTGAGTAAGTGAGGTGGCTGGAAGTTGACTCAACAGACCCCTCTAGCGCTAATACAACCTGTACTCCTGATTAAATCTGAGTCTGATTTTCATAACCGTTACTAAAGCCTCTTCTCTCTCTCCCTTCCTCAACCCCAGTTCAGGCTCTGCAGTGACAACAGCTGAGAAAAAGCCAGTGACACCAGGACCAGCACTTAAGAAGTGGGAAATTTCAAAAGACCAGCCCTATTTGTGAGAAATAAGTATGACAAGGTTGGATGTGCAGGTCACAGTGCGTTACAAAGCAGCACTCTAGTGCCTGTGGTGGATTTTGCTACAGTGATGCTGTGGGGAACTTGTCCTAGTGCTGCTGATGCATGACTAATAAATGTATTTAAAGTTCTGATTATCCCCCCCCATCTTGTCTGTTCTATTTGAGTTATCTAAATTACTACTCTTGAATATTGTTTTGGGTGTAAGGTTTTCTTGAGGGAATAGCAGCGTAGTATGTGCCTTCGAGCTCAGGCTGAGCGGATTTGTAAGCTGCAGCTGAGATACCACCACTTAAGGACACACCCCAGCCAAAAAGTACCCGATGCTCTGACTTTGTGGTGAGAGAGACGAGTTAAGTAGCCTCACCACTCTTGCCACAAGTGCCCGATGTCCTGGTCAGGCTGCCCTGCTGCAGCTACAACCTTTCTGGATGCTGAGCCGCTGTAGTTCGGTCCCTCCCCAGCGACAGCGGGTCACCTGGGCTCAGGCCGTGCTTGCAGCGAGCTACGCTCCTTATTTCTCAGCGGCCGGCGGGAGGGTACGCCTGTTTCCAGAGGATGCCGGGGCAGCGCCGACGGAGTCAGGCCGAGCCTTTCCGCAGCCGGCGGCCTGCCAGCAGCCGTTCTACCCC